ACCTATATGATAAGAACTTTAAGTCCCTGAAAAAAGAAATTGAAGAAGATGTCCAAAAGTGGAAAGATCTCCCATGCTCATGGATAGGCAGGACCAACATAGTAAAAATGGCCATTTTACCAAAAGCAATCTACAGATTCAATGCAATCCCCATCAAAATACCAACACAATTCTTCACAGACCTGGAAAGAATAATATTCAACTTCATATGGAAAAACAAAAAACCCAGGATAGCCATAAGAATCCTGTACAATGAAAGTGGAGCTTTCTTACTGAGCTAACAAATACAGTCTTTAAAGAGCAGAAAGAAGAGACTGTTTCCATCCAAAGGGTTTCCTCCATTTGTTGTATTTGAGTAATTTCAGTGCATGGTACATTACTGTGCCATGGAAAAGGCACCATCTGAGGAAAGACAGCCTTGGCATGTACATAGGGAAAGGTGAATTTGGGGAATGTAAGTAGAAATATGGATGCTCTGAATGAAGCATGAGGCAGTAAAGCCATCTCTCAGTTGAAAACAGAAAGGGTCTGTTGTAGTCATGATGATATATGTTCAAATTAGACTTAAAGGTCTAAAAGGAAGGAAACAGAAACATCAGGACAACATGGCACCAGGATTTGAGCACATTGTAAAACAGATCATCAGTTCTCAGGAAATAAAGGCTGCAAGGAGATAGGAACTTGTTGAGTAGGAAATGGGTGTGTGTTGCTATGCAATGTGATAACAGCAATAAATGCAGATTTAGTTTGGAGTCCAGGGAAAAGTTAGGAAATAATTTATTTATAAGTATCAGTAATAGGCATCTTGTAGCATCATCTCTTTACTTCTCCCTGTCTCCCTCATCTCTTACTTATACAGACTTGATAATGTTCTTTTCTGACAAGACAGTAAGGAAACGTTTTGGGAGACTCTGAGGTTGTCTTTGTTCTCTTAATTAAACTACAGGACATCTCAAAAAAAAATAAAAAAAAACCTGTTTTCATTATTGTCATAATCTTAAAAAACACATCTTCCTATGTGATGAAAGTCCTAATGCCATTTTTCCAAGAAAAAGACTCCCATTTGTGGTGATATTGTGTTCCCCAATATATTGTGCACTTTAATAAACTTATCTGGGGTCACAGAACAGAACAGCCCCTAGATAGACATAGAGGCCAAAAAATGGTGGCACACACGCCTTTAATCCTAGCATTCCAAAGGCAGAGATCCATCTGGATCTCTGTGAGTTCAAAGCCACACTGGACACAGCCAGGCATGGTGACTCACGCCTTTAATCCCAGGAAGTGATGGCAGGAAGCAGAAAGGTATATAGGGCATGAGGACCAGGAACTAGAGTCTGGTTAAGCTTTTAGGCTTTTAGCAGCAGTTCAGGTGAGATCCATTTGGATGAGGACACAGAGGCTTCTAGTTTGAGGAAACAAGGTCAGCTGAGGAACTGGCGAGGTGAGGTTAGCTGTGGCTGGTTCTATTTCTCTGATCTTTCAGTGTTCACCCCAATACCTGGCTCCAGGTTTGTTTTTATTAGTAAGACCTTTTAAGATTCACATCACACCCATTATGTTAAATAATAGCATGAAAAATGGTATCTACATGTTAAACTCATTTTTATCTGGCTTTAAGTTGTATCAAAAGTAATATTTTTATTTAAATTATGATACATTAAGTCTAACCTTGGGAAATAAATAATGTGTACTCATTCTTTGTTATTTTGATACTTCATGCCTGGAATAATCTACAAGCTGCAGCTGAGCCCAGCACTAGAGTGTTGCTTCTTTCATTACAAGTACCTGAACTAAAAATAGTATCTAAATAAAATTCTCCAAGAAATCCAAACGCATTCCTATTCTTAAAAATATCTATTTGCCAGGCTGGGTGGTGGTGGCACACGCCTTTAATCCCAGCACTTGGGAGGCAGAGCCAGGGGGAGCTCTTTGAGTTTGAGGCCAGCATGGTCTACAGAGTGAGATCCAGGACAGGCGCAAAGCTACACAGAGAAAACCTGTCTCTAAAAACCAAAGAAAAAGAAAAAATCTATTTACCTTTATGCATATGTGTGTATATGCCTGTATGAACACATGTGAATCACATGTGGAGGCCAGAAGAAGGCATAGGATCCCTTAGAACTGGGTGGTTGTGAGTCCTCATCCTAAAAAAAAAAAAAAAAAAAAAAAAAAAAAGCAACAAGCAAACAAAACTGTTGGCTACATTGAATAACTGATGTGACAAGAAATACTTTCTAGTGTTCTGCATGTTAATTTTAGTTATCCAAAACTGAACTTAAATATCATCTGTATCATCTGTGAAGTAATTTTCCCATCTGGGACCAAGAGATAGTCAAATCGACTGTCAGCATCTTTGCCCACATAGGTGTCTTCACTTGTCCTAACTATCTTCTTCATTTTTGCGGCATCTTTGTCTAGGTATCCATCTACCTTTGAATTTAATGAATCCTTGAAGACTCCCATTAACAGAAGAAGTCTTTCTCTCTCATCTTCCTGCGCAGACACTGCTTTCCCTCACTTGTAGTTGGTGTAGGGAAACCTAACTTAGGATGGTAGGTTCTGGAAGATGTTAGACACAAGTTAAAATCGGTCAACAGTGGCCCCGTGGGCCATCACACATAGGCACTAGTGTCCCTGTGGCAGCTAATACATCTGCTCTACACTGCCTCATCATCTCAGGTGGGGAAACTTGTTGAGTATATCCAGTGGCACCCAATGATATCAACCGTGACTTCATTTTGCAGAGAAACGCTTCTCCATGAGAAAAGTCTTTGGGTTGACAGAAATTTGTCTTTCCTCTTATTCTCTCACTATTCTCAGTTCTGAGCCTACCCTTCTCCACTAAGATTCCACATCTGGACCATTTCCATGCTCTCCCTTGGCAGAATCTTGTTTATTGCCATTCATATCACCCTTGTCCCACTAACTTCCCCAAATATACACTCTGCTAGGGGAGAAGGATGATATCTAAAACAAACTGTCTTTGCTGAGTTGGTTTATCTCTGGGCCATATCCTGCTCTCCTTCGGAAGAGTGTTCACACAGTGATGTATTAACGTTTACAAATGACACAATTGATTACTACTCTACCACAAAGTAACCAACTGACATTTATGTTATTATCACCTAATGGTACACCACCAATACTGAGAAATTTCAGAGAAATCTGTAGAAAAACAATGATTTTTGGAGAGGTGGCTGTGTTGTGATGTTCTTCAAATATTGAAAGACAGTGCTTTTGGAGTGTTGGCTCAGTGGGAACAGGTAGATGCCTGTCACCAGCATGACAACCCAAGTTCATCCCCATGTCCCACATGGTGGAAGGAGAGGCCTGGTTCTAGGAAAGTGTCCTCTGACTTCCACTCACAGACAGTGGCATGCAGTCGTGTGTGTGTGTGTGTGTGTGTGTGTGTGTGTGTGTGTGTGTGTATGTGTGTACTCACACTGAAAAAAAAACAATAAAACATGTAAAAAAAAATGAATAGAGGTGGCAGAAGTAACATCAGGGTATTATGCCAAGATTCAGTGACCTGGTTGTCACACAAACAAGTGACCAGCATGCTTCGTGCTTTTCTGATCTCTTTTTTCCTTTCTGATTCAGGGTAGATTATAGTACTGTAGCTACACAAATCAGACACCAGAGTCAAGTAATGGTAACACCCTTCTTCAGGGAAGGTGGCTTCTTGGAATAAGCAGGTAGTAAAGGTCACATTGGATGAAGTGCAGCAGATGATGGGCAACAATGAAGGGCAGCAGTGAGTCTTGTAGCATTTTCCTGGGCATCAGGCAGGGACACACATCTGAGTTAGGTTGCCCTTACAAGTAGAAAGTTCTGAGTCATGTTACAGTTATGACAGAAAGCGCCCTATAGATGGAGACGGGTTTTGTTCTACATGGTGACTAAGCAGAGAAAGACATCAGGCTATTTCTTAGAAAGAGCAAAGAAGATGGTTTCCCTTGAAGTGGTGAAGATATAGCTTGGTTACACACACACACACACACACACACACACACACACACACACACACACACCTTTCATTCAGCCTGTAGTTTGCTTTCTTTTATTCCTTAATACACATGGAAATGGGAAAGCACACAACATGGAGATGTGTAGCCTGATCAAGTGATGATCTTTGAAAATGTGCTTCTATTTAAAACAGCACACAGATGGAGGCTTTATGAGCGAGGCTGGTAAAGGTAAAAGCAAATGATGGCAATAGTACTTTGAATAGGATTTCCCACAATCTAAAACATTACTCCCCTAGGAACACATTGTTCTATAAAGTTATGTTACTTAGGAGAGAGATCATCTCCCTGACTTGCAGAAGCAACAGACAGCTCCAGAATCCCATGCATCTCCCATTTCTCTGGACTCAGACCAGTGTCCTGGGAAGTGGAGATAGGGTTGTCTGAGAGAGGTCCCCAAAGAATAGGCTGGATGGAGCAGAGTGAGGAAAACAAACAGGTGTGAAGGGGTGGGTCAGATACGCCTGGATTTCAGATGAATTTATTACCCTGTAATTTCCAACTTTGAAAAACAAGGTTTGGGAAATTCCTACAGATTTTAAATAAACAGGGCTCAGGGCTTCCACCCCTGCCAATTCAGACCACAGTCCAGTTCTAGGAGGGCAGATGTTGTTCAACAGACAATGGAATTGTAAACAACCCGACAATAATTCATTATCATCATCCCTACTTAAGAGAAACTAAACTCACTATAATTCCATCAGGAAGATGAATATACTGCTGTGATGGCCTTTACGTAAGTTATAATTAAAGCTAATCTTAATTGAAGTTATTGCACCATTTTGGAAGAAAACAAACAACCCAAAGAGAGGGCAACAGTGTGGTCAATAACTCACTCCAATTTTTTTCTATCTTTTTTTTTTTTTCCTCCAAAGCTCACATGGAGGGAGACATTCCTGTGCATGATACAAATGGTTCTGACATTAAGAAAAGTAAACAAGTAAGAAAAATAAAGATGGAAAAATTCTGTGGTCAGTTCACAAGTGCTTTTTTATTGTTTGAGGCAGGGTTAAAGCCTTTTATGAAGACAGGGATATATGTGCCGTTAGATTGGATGTGACATCAGACGAGTCTTGCTGCCCTTGTGCGGAGCCTTGCTTCCCATAATATGCAATGGACCAAACGTTCTGATGCCACTAAACAAAGAGGCAAGGTGGGACCTGATGGCACTAATGGAAACCATCAGCTCTCGGTGCTGCTGTGTAGATCAAACAGAGAAGGTACTCAACCCTGGTTATGGGCGGCTTGTATAATCCCTCGTTATTAATGGTCTCAAGGACTTGAACGTTAGCTGCTCCCAACAGCTGATGAAAGCATGTTGTGCCATCTCCATGTGGGACTCCTGCCAGCCTGGGTATTTGTTATTCCAAGGCTGTGTTAACTCAGTAAGGCAGAGGCTGTATGAACGGACAAGATCTGAGAAAGAAGGGTCCTTCTCCAGCAGCCCAGGGGATCTGAGCCCTCAGTGCCTGACTCTCTACTAGCAACTCTCGTGGCTATCCATGGTGTGAAGGGATTCTCTTTCGGTCTTCGCTGTCCTAACCTAGGGGACTCAGGGAAGTGAATACATGGCATAAATACAATAAGGAAGGGTAGGTGCTATTGTGTTAAGGGCAAGAAGTCTTTCAGATGCCTTCCAGAGTGGCTTGACCTGGACAACTGTGATGTAGATAAAATGAGCACCATTTGGCTAGCATAATTCTGCTGCTTTCCCTGTAATACCAGTGCTAGCAAACCCCCAGAGCTATAGAAAGAACTAGTAATGTCTCCTCAGCTATGGATCTGACCCCTAAGAGGTCCTGCGAGAAACAGGAAACCTAAAAAGTTTGTGTTCTATCAAACCTGTTTGGTCTGCTGGGAATTTTCTAGTCTTCCATTTGTTTTCCAACCTCCTGGCCCATCCCACCATCTTTCATTATCTCACTACATTTAACTAGCATCCAAAGGGACAATGTAACCTGTAGGGTAAATATGGCCCTAGGCACAGCTGACAGTGTACAGGAAAAAACAAAGGAGAATCTCTGGTGTCGCCAATCTCTGGTGGCTTACTCTGTGACTGACATGTTCAGGACAAGCAGATTTTGAATTAAAATGCTTTTGTAGTCAGGGACTTAGGGAAATGTAGGAGTTGTATTATGAAACCACACATAAATAGATGACTTGGTTGAGAAGTTGTGGCCTTTGAGTGATCTCTACAAATGGGAGAGCATTGCCAATGATTAAAGACCATGTTGATGAGTTGGTTAATATAATGCCTAACAAGCAGGCTAACTGGGATGCCCCTCCTCTGTACCAGTGAGTACCCCACTGAAAACAAGCCCAGAGCACAGTGACATCAGAAGACTTAGAAGGCAAGCTCAGAAGAGCCTCGTTTACTATACTGCAGCCAGTGAGCATGCCCGAGGAGGCCCCAGGTGTGACCCCTGTCCCCCTGTGAGCAGCGACGAGACCAGGCAATCTATCATGGTGTTCATGCTGTCAGCCCTGGTGCTGCGCCGCTGCTGTCTGTCACCCTGGTGGATGAGACCTGCTTAAGGGCAATCATGTCAATCTCTCTGTGACCACTCAGTCTGAGGCAGCTGGATGATCTTGACAGGCCTGGCAAAGTCGGCACACGGTACTGAAAGCTGGAGTCACAGCCTTCTTAGAGAAACACAAAGTGGGCTGTGGTTTTTCTGGCCTTTCCATTTTATTGTCACGACATAGGCTAAGGCATGTAGAATTTAGCTTCAGAGCTGGTCATCTCGGATGAACCTATTACCCTCTGAGTTTCTTCCATAGTAAAAATAGCGACCTTTCGCCAGGACACCTGTAAATGGAAAGAGACATCATTACTGGTGGCATAATTCATACAGCTTAGAGATCCAGCTGTTATTAAGCATACATGCACTATGATCGCTAATCTGATAGTAAGCAGAAAACAGTTGAAGCCTCGGATGACAAAGACTGTACCTTCTTGTCCCCAAAGGTGGCTTTTGAAATGAAATGTTACTAAGGATAGGTTCCTAGGAATAAACAGCTTTCTGTGTAATTTCCTCATTTTAAGAACTTTTCTAATTTGACAAACGGTTCCCTAAAATACAGCACGACTCCCTCCTCCCAGCTTTCCTTAGTCTAGTTTCTAAGAATGGAAAATTAAGTTTAAATCAGATGAATCCAGCCCAAGGAAAAGCTGAAGGGTAATCTTCCCAGAGTGTGACTATTTTGAAGTCCTTTATTGGAAATCAATATTGTTGACTTCCAGAGAGAATTTTCCAAATCCCTGGGGACTTCAAGCCCATGCAGGGTGATTAAAGAAGAGAGGCCACACTAACTGAAGACTGTACAGGAAGTAACAAGGACCATTGGCACTAGGCACCCCCGACTCATTTCTCATGTGAAAATGCACTTTCCTCTTTAACAGTGTGACTTCATATATGATCTGTGGCTCCTTAGAAAACTGTCCTGTCATTCGTGGAGATTATAGGATACTTCACTGTGACACACAGCATTAGAAGAGGGACAGATGTTCTGATCCTCTTGTCTTTATGTATTATAGATACCCACAAAAGTTCTGTGCATGGAGGTGCATGCCTGTACTTGCAATCCTAGCACTTGGGTGGACTGAGCAGGAAGATGGTGAGTTCGAGTCTAACTTGGCTTCAGAGTGAGATTCTGTTTCCAAAATTAATAAATAAATAATCAAAGGCTAGGAATGTAACTTGAAGGAATAGTGCTTGCCTAGAATGTGGAAGTCTCAGGTTTGATACTTAGCACTCCAGAATAAATACCCAGAAGACATTGACTACAATACTAAAACACTATAAGATTATTAAGAACACAAAGTGTTTTCCCAAGAAAGTATTTATTGCCTTTTTACCACCTCCTTTTTTTTTCTTTGCAATGTTAGAAGAACTAACTTAAAATCCACTTGCACATAGCTATCTAAGTCCAAACGGGGCTTAAATCTCTGACGTACACAGAAGGCAAAGAAAGAAAACAGCCATAAAACATTAATCCATGAGCCACAAACCTGCCTATGGTGATGGCTACCTCTGCACATGAGTATGTATTATCGTCAGTTCAGTAGAGTGATGCCAACACACACCAGCCTTTGTTGATTTGAGATCAGCTATATTCTTCACATCAAGTATTAGTAGAACATAAGTTTTATATGTCTTAAATTTGTGTTGTCTCTCTCCTGTGTGTGTAGGCCACAGGTTGACATCAGTTGTCTTCCTCAATTCATATCTGCCTTTTTTTTTTAAATATTTGTCTCTTATATGCCTGGAATGCATGGATGTGGCTCTCTGGTTGGCCAGCAACCCCCAGGGTCCTTCTGCTCAGCCCATCTTTGAAAATACAGATGCACACAGCTATACCCTGCCTTTTTATGTACGCACTTGGGATCAAACTCAGGTCCTCAGGCTTGCATGGCAAGCACTTTATTAACCATCCCTCTTCCCCATCCCCTAAACTTTGTTCTTAAATAAGGATTAAAACCATTTATAGAATCTTTTAAGGGTAGTTTTATGGATGTGCCCTGCTTTGAATAGTCAGAGGCAAACTGGAAAGTTCCTGGGATCCCAAGCGCTCTCAGAGTTGGAAGAGGGACAGGGTGACATCATTTGGGACCTGGCTCATTCCTTGCTGTGTTGCCATGGACTGCTTTATTGTGGGTCATTCTTCCTGCCTGACTTGGCTTTCTTGCCCCTCCACAGCCCTAGTCCCCAGTTTCTGGGGTTCAGTATTGGTCTAATGCCTGGAACTCCTGAGCGGGTGTGAGGCAGCACTCATCTCTTTCTTGTGACCCATTCTTTCAGCTCTTGGCACAGAGCTGCTTCCTTCATTGTGTTCTGTAGAGCCTAGGATTGCACTAACCTCGTCACCGATGCTAGAACCCTGGTGATCTATAGGCTGGGCGGGGCACATTCTACCTCCATACATGGGAAACCCCATAGGCACTGCCTTAAACCTGGCTGATTCAAACAAACTCCAAAACGCGAGAGGGATGGTCCAAAGGATGTTAATTTCTATCTACAGTACCAGGACAGCATGGATTTAAAAAAAAAAATGGATAGGGCTGCCAGATATCATAAAGAGCACAGTCCTTCTCATGAGCACACTGCGTGACAGGCAGTCATGTGCGCGCACACACCACAGTCTGCCATGGTTGCCCTCCCTCTGGTAAACCTGCCCACACATCCGAGGATTCTATGTCTTTGCTCTCCACCTCTCTCCATGCTGAATTTCCATTCTTGATGCAAGCAGATGGAAACTGTGTTCCTGGAACATGGACCCAGGCTGCATTCTGAGCCACACTCACCCATCCTCTCTGGTTGGCATTGATAAAAGTCCTCTTTAAGGCCTGCCCTGTTTCTCTGGGCCTGGAAGCAAGACCGTTTATAGACATCCTGGTGAGAGAGGGCTGTTTGATGAATGCAGGAGACTGTGGCTAGGTGTCAGCACTTGGAAAATGAGGCAAAGTCGTGAGTTATTAATATTGTCAATGATCTCTTGATGGGAAAACAGATACTGCACTCACTGTCAGATTTAAATAGACATTGAGTGCATTAAGGACAAAAGGGCAGACTTCAAACAAAGGAGCTGTGTGCTGGGAAGCTGACTTGGTCTCTGGGCTGGCACTAACCTGATCTGAAAAGACACTGTCAGGACTGGAGACAGGCCCTGGATTGTGCCTGGTGACAGAAAACAGAGATGCTGACAGAGATACCAGCGCCATATTATGCCAAGGACACCCGAGCACTGTCTGGGACTCTAACACGAGCTGACATCACTCCCTAGCATGTGGCTCTTCTCTTCGGGCCCTGCACACCAGAATCTTTCTTCAACGTGTCACCCCAACACTTGCCATGCCCATGAAGGTCCTGGCGGCCTTGGTGGGGACAGGGCCCACAGATAAGCCAAGTCAATCTCACCCTGGGCTGTACAGGGATGACACTTCCCTACTAATAGCCGGGTGACTTAAGGTGAGCAGAGGACCAGTGTGTTAGGAGCTGTCACCTTGAATTAAACAGTTAAGGAGAAATTAAACTCTCGTGGGCTGGGGCTGCTCTGGGGTGGCCTGGCAAACCCAAATGAACCCCAGCTGCTGGTACTAGTCTGGGGACAAGGGTGCTTAGACTAAAGACTCATAAAATAAGCTGATACTTTTGTACCAGAGTCATATACGGATGTTTAAATTAAGGTAGTTTTGCCTCTCATGCTTCTCCTATCAGAGCTCAAAATGGGGGTGAGACTACCCAAAATATTTGACTTTTGTAGTTGAAAAAAAAAAGACATTAAGAAGAGAAAGAGAAACAGCCTGGTACAACCCCACATGTGGTCAGAAGACTTTTTTTTATCAAGGAAGTCATTTGTGAGGGCATAGATTCTGCTCATAAATTAAGGGAGATGGTAATATGGGTAGTTCCTGTCCCCACTCCAGCCCTCCTCCTCAGCAATAGCAACTGCCAGAGGCTGGGAAAGCTGCAGAAGGGGCCATTTGTATCTTCGTAGGGAGGGTCTCTGTGGCTGGAATCTGGGACGTGGTGGTGGCAACTCTGTAGACCATGGCCTTGGACACATCTGCCATGGATTCTCTTGTTTGTATCTCCTCAAACTCTATGGTTGAAGAAATGGAAGGAGACAACATATTTAATGGCATACAGAGTGTTTTTAATTAAAATATGAGGCTTTGGTCATAGTAAGTGAGGAGGGAGGGCCATACATCAGGCCAACATGCAGTTGTTGGTGCGGGGGGGGGGGGGAGTCTTTTGGGAGCCCTGAAAAATGACAGTGTACTGTTCCCTGGGGAATCCTCTCCTGCCAGATGAAACTCCTAATTTTTCTTCAGAAGCCAGCTTTCCCATCACAGTGTGTGGGGAAGAATCTGTTTTAAAGAGGTCCTTTATCTTCTCGATGTTCCCACCCTCTGCAATGGATGTCCTGAGATGTGGGTTAAGCTATGACCTTGGGTCTGCTTAGTGGGAATCAGCCTCTTCTCTTGAATGCAAGGCTGTGGTGAAAAGGACCATTCTGGAGACATGGAGGGTGGAGGCGGGGGTGGGGTGGGGGGTGGGGTGGGGGAGGGTAGGAGAATGATCCTTGCTGTCCAGGAAAAGGGGTCCTAACATACCTCTCTACAAGTCCCATACCGATTCCATCCTGGCTTCCCATTCCTACTGTCTGTCCTTAATGTCTATTGACCATGTGCCCTGGTCCTTTGTACTCCCTGTTTTCACTATTCATAAATGAAGACAAAGATAATCACTATGGGTCCTTTTGAATTGTGAAATAAGTGATTTGGTATTTTTTAATGTTTATCTTTTATGAATGTGGGGCATTGGGTCCATATGGGTTCCTGATGGAGGAGGTGTGCCCAATGTGACCAAGTGTACTAAGTTAGGTTTTCAAATCCATCTACTCACATCCCTATAATATAGCATGGAGTCAGGGTACCCTGTACGAGGAGTCCAAACTCTCCCTAGAAAGGGTATCTGCTGACTTTTCAGCAACTCATAGTTCACACTCATAGCTGGGCATCCTGACCACTAACTGCCCTAGCTTTGAAATCACATCTCGCATATCATATTCCCATACTCAACATGTTGAGAGCCTAATTAACCATCAGAGTGTCTGAGTTCACATTTGATGGAAGAGTGCAGCTAGAGCCACAGATTTGAAAAACAGAAAAAAATCAAGTCTTAACCTTACTAGTAGTACTGAGAGTAATCACCACCCTAAACATTCTTGACATGAATGTGAGTGTAGTACCCCACTGACAAACAGATGATGACCTGATTGTGACCACTTGGAACTTACTGGACA